ACACACACACACACCGGCAATAGAAACTTTCCACTTAGAAACCTGTATTATGCTTATTTTTCAATATAATGAAAACAAAAATTGACACTGACAAATTTCAAAACAAATCAAGAAGTTTATTACCTTTAGTTTCTTGATTATGTTTCATCTGGTGGCTCAGGGCTTTAAGCACACACTTGATTTCTCCTTGATTTCAAAATTTCACGTCAATAGCGGGTATTGTCGCCCTTTGCAATGATGCAAGCTTGTCATGTTCTGCTCATTGATCCAATCAGCTTCAAAGAAAAAATTGTTGAAGCAGTCTATTCAACTCTTGAATAAATGCTTATCCCCGTCGTTTTACAATGTTAATGTTGTTTAGGGAGCTCACTCTTAGGCCCATGGGTGACATGTGTGTTAAGTAGGCTGGCAATGGCAAAACATTCACATTTTGCTGCTGTAGATATTGCACCTTTACACGAGCAACGTGTGGGCGCGCATTGTTATGCTGGAATGGGTGCATACGTCTATGAGTTTAAAAGAAAGGAACCGAGTACAATCGGAAAACATTTTGGTACTCGTTGCTGTCGATCGAACCGTTGAAAATGTGCGGCTAGGTCCTGTGCTTGAAAGAAATTCAACCCCACACCATCACATTGCCACCGCTCGATCAGTGTATTTCATGCAGGCAGCAGTCTGTTAGTCTCTGTCTACAAACTCTTCGTGAAAAAAAAACCCAACTCCATTCCAGACGAATGTGACGATTTGCCCTGTCAGTTCAAGCGTAATTCTTGAAAAGATGGCAAACGTTGGTCATTATAATTATAGGGCCGCTTGCTCGATGTCCAAATGTGTTTTAACGTTGCTGTATCCTTCTTTCGCTGACAACTCTTTCACTTTCAGTTTATGTAATGAAATTGAGGTGCAAAGCTGGTCGTTTTGAGAAAGTGATCTCGAAGATGTCAGAGCAGTATATTATGTTGGTCTTCGTGGGAAGTATCGACCAGTGGTCTACCTGGTCCTGATCTGTGGAGTAAAACCAGTCATTAAGACTTAGAATCTATCTTTCGGGATACTGACGATAGGATGGGAGCAAAGCGGCATCCTCGCCGTTCTGCGGGCCGATAGTACAGCTTGGAGTATCCAAATTGCCCAACAGCTCTCCTCGGGACTTAACTTTACAGCATCTTGTACGGCAACAAAAACCAGCTGGAATAATAATATGCATGTAACTGGTTTTTCGGTTCTAAAATCGCAAATGTGTTCATCTAAACACAATTTAGACGATTTTATAATTTCGGCGGAACTAAGGTCTAAAAAACCCCGTAAATTTGCATGTGGGTCACGTGACCACGTGGATAAATTTTTGTTCAAGAAAATAATCAGCGCGGAGTCATTGTTGGATGCATGGTGAGTGATGTGCGAAATTTCGCTCACTTAGTCACATGAACAAGAGCGCAGTTACAAAAAACAAAGTGGAAAGTTTCTATTGCCGCTGGGTGCATAAACTTTGTCTGTTTCTCTCTCTCCCTCTGTTGTCTGTCTCTCTCACTCTCTCACTCTCACTCTCTCTCTCTCTCTCTCTCTCTCTCTCTCTCTATCTATCTATCTATCTATCTATCTGTGTGTGTATGAGTGTGTGTGTGTGTATGTGTGTGTGTGTGTGTGTGTGTGTGTGTGTGTGTGTGTGTGTGTGTGTGTGCGTTCTCTCGTTACAATTGAGGTAATGAAGGTTGTTTCCATCACCGAGGAGAGGCCTACAGTCGAAATTGTCCAAAACGGCCACCCATTATCGAGGTGAAAAGTGGGTGTCTTATGACGGGTAAACATCTTGGGTAGCGTTATTATTATAATACAGAAGAAAAAAAATACGCCAGGGGGTGGGAGGAGGAGAAGTAGTCGTTAGTACAGGTGACTGTCAAGGACAGTTGGCTGTCAGAGCAGGTTCGACAGCAATCGCTTCATTTTATGAAATTAGATCACTGTAATTGAGTGTCTGGGTCGTAGGTGGGTTTTTTTCTTCTATTTTATAGCCGGGGGGGGGAGAGAGAGAGTGAGAGAGAGAGAGAGAGAGAGAGAGAGAGAGAGAGAGAGAGAGAGAGGGGGGGGGGGGTGGAGGGGGTGCTATAGATTCATAAAATTACATTGAGTTCCCATTTCTGGCTGTCTGCCTGTCCCCATCTCTCTCCCTATCTTGCTCCTTCCGCGCCTTCCTTTTTTTCTCCTCAAATACTAATCATGTACATGTGTGTGACATCGTGGTGAAATAAGACACTCGTCAAAACTGGCTTGTTGAGTTTTGCAAAACCACTCTTCCTCGATTCTATATTGACGGCTAGACCTGATAAAGAAAGTTTATGATTCTAATCTACTTGGGCCATACAAAGTAGCCTACAGTCGAACCTGCTCTTGCAACCATCTGCCCAAGACAATCACCTACACAAACGAGTACACTTTCCCATTTTTCCCTTGCACGTTCTCTGTAATATCATAATGACACTGTCTACGAGGACAGGTTCAACTGGACTTTATTTGGTCATATTATATGCACTGGGCATTTGAAAATCTGCAGAAAAAAAATGCACGAACAATCAAACTGTTACTCGGTGCAACGGCTCTTAGATCACCAACTAAGAAACTATCTGCCAAAAGTCAACTTTCAAACAGTGTCTCGAGAAGAAAAAATTGCTTTTAAAGAAGTTGACCTTTCCACAAAATAGATGCCAAGTACTGCTAGACAGTACACTCATGAGAAAGAGCACATCATATACTAATATTTACCAAAGCAGATGCATTTTAGTGTATTATTAGTTATTAGAAAGACCTGTCGTCACATTACATGTTGGCAATAGTCTCAGTACAATTGTTTTGAAAATTGTAGCCAACTGATTTAAACTACAGATTTATAAATTTATAGCATGTTGCAGTTTTGACAAAGATACCTCCTGCACCCAAAGACTTTGGAAAACCAATCTACCTCAGAGTAATTTAATTCACCTTTATTTCTGATCTTGAAGATGTTTACTGACCACTGACACAAAACCTTCAGATATCATGAATTCATTAGTACTAAAACTCTGTGAACACTGAATTTTAAAAAAATAAAGCCAATCAAACTACTGATTTTCTTCAAACATGATATAATAAAGCAAGGTGTGAAGTACTTTCACTCAGTTAATTGAAGATGGTGGTTTTCCACACAAATGAAAGAGGGAATTGATAAATCATAGCTGTCTATCATAAATATTAATTTAGATAATCTGAACACCCCCCCTCCAGGAAACCACAGAAAAAAAGGAAAACGGATAATCCCATAAATTAGGAATGACGGCCAGCTTTCTGGTGTTTTGTCTTACTGTCCCATGAAACAAAGCCACTCTCTCACCACCCACTGTGTAGAAAGAATGTGGGAACAAAAACACAATTGGGGGTGGTTGTCTTACATATTGAACACATATTATGTGACAGTGTTGATAACAGTAGGCAAATGCTAAAAAGAGGAAAGGGGGCAGAGTCATTTGAAAGGAAAGATAAAACGACCCAAAGTCCATTGAATTAATCAGATCTGCGGAAATTGTTTCTCCTGTTAAGGAAAGTTACACAATGCATAAATAGAATAAAGGGGTAACAAACGGTTGCTTGAAATCCTTTTGCGTTAAACAGGGACTCTGTGTTAAACGGCTCCATATTAAACGAAGTCTACTATACTAAACGTAGTTCAATAAAGAATTTTTTTCCACATACAAAAAATTTTATACGTAAGGGAAAATAAAGTTGAACTCTATTTCTCCGAACGGTTTCCGATCTCGAGATTTTTTTTGGTTATTTGCGAGATTTAGGCGTCATCATTTCATTCTGCCATTCTGTGAGGACTGGGAAGAAGCATTTTTGAGTCGAATTCAATTTCTAGAGCTAGAGATTTTTAAATTTTATGTCTGAATATTCAGATACTTCAGTAGTGGTAGGGGCAACGTTCCCAGACTACTTATACTTCATTTGAAAATATTTTCAAAAGATACTGCGAGAAAACAAGACTGCTCGACCATGGAAGTAACATATTTTGCATTTAGATCTAGTCACCCAGCAAAAAATAAAATTCTCCATGTAAAAAAGAAGAAAGTGGCTATTCTCACCCGCCCGGAAGTTCTCGCAAGATCTACTCCTCCCCTCTTCTCTCTCTCTCTGTCT